ACTCCCTGAGCTCCAACGAGAAGGGTACAACCTTGGTCAAGTAAGCTTTCAGTTTATAGACTCACTCGCTATGCTCAGGCCCACAAGCAAGTCATCATACCACGCTGTCACTCCTCCGTTATCTCAGTTCGCAAGCAAGGGGCATCGGTCAACAGGTAGGTCCTGAACTCCTCCACTGTCCTATCAGTACTCACCGGATACGTACAATGAGAATGAGTCTTCTGCTAACACGCGGGGGGGGATACACTATCCCTGTCGAGTAACAGAGTTCTTGAAGCTCACTGGGTAATAGTCTGCTAAGGTGAGCAAAGCGACCAGCAGTATCCCGATCAGGCTGTGTGCAGAAGACGACAGATCTACGAGCGGCCTGGCCAGTCGGATCGAGCCGACCAGTTCACGACCATCATGGCGATCAGGTACGTGCTACTTTCTTCCCCCTCTCACTATTACCAAATGTCTGCATGCACGCACTTACCCCATCGCGCAGCGTGCCTGCTTCACGCCGAAACTGAAAGTCGCCGCCCTTCCGGTGTTAGGACAAGCAAAACGTGAATGAATCTTCCACCAAAACGTGGAGGGGTTCATTCTGTTCTTGCTTCCTTTTCCTTTTACTTTGCACATTCCTGGCCCCACTTCGTGCCTGGGTTCTTCCCTTCTATTCTTCATCTGCCCTCACTGCCCTGGTGGCTGCCTCATCGATCAGATGGGCAAAACTTCGAACGAACCTTCTGCAAGAACCTGGCTAGGTGCGTTCTCCTCTTTCGTTCCCTCCCAAACTTACTCCCGGGAACCACCGCGCAGCCTATTCGCTACCAACTCCGACTGAACTAACCCATAATCGAATCTAATACTCCCACCGATCTCGCCCGACCCAATACCCATGGATTCGGCTTTCACCCCGCCGAAATCCGTTCGGAAACCCATACGATATGCTTTCCCCACTCTCCTTCTTCCCGTTGTCTCCATAGCTCCGCGCGGACCATTTCTTATTGACCTCCCGATCTACCAACTCTTTACTAAAACTATCATTCTTGTCTGATTTGCCTAACATCAAAACCTCTATCCACTATCCTACCTCGCTCGATTCCATAAAGAATCGGGCATGATGTCAGACCTTCCTGCTTCCATATCCGCTCCTTTCCGGCATCACCACGCGGCCGCTTTCTCAACTAACTCCAATCCTAATCGACTAACCCCAAAACTAACTATACCATCAGCTTCGCCATGGCAAAAAACCCCAGTCTAACCTCTTCCTCCACCCGAATCCGTCCCCCATCGCCCATGCTCTGTGTTTTGCCCAGTTCACCCTTTGCCTCCATCTTCGAACGCATCTGGCGCGTAATCCGCCGAGATTCGTTCCTTCCTCCTTTTCGTGCTCGGTGCCTGAGCCTTGCCACTTCTCCGCATACACTCCGCCACACCCCCCGTCCACATTTATCCATCCCCTCCATCTTGCTTTTGGTCGGCCCGTTCGCTAGCCTTGCCTGGTGTTGCCTTACCGCTGCGCCCCGCTGCTGCTACCTCGTTGCCCCCGCTGTCCTGCGCTAGCTGCTGTCGCAGCGCCCGGTCCCACAACGCTACTCCTCCGTCGCTCCTGTCTGTCGTGGCCAGCTGCCAATGTCGTGCTCGCTATTGCCCCGGCCTCCCTTCGTAGTCTTAGCGACCTGCTACTCCGCCCACTATTGCGCGGCTCTACCCGACCAGCCCCGTTGTGTGCCGCCTCCTTCCGCCTGCATGCACTTGGCGCGTTTCCGCCCCCGGGTTCACTCTCCCCCTCTTTTACCTTGTTTTCCCGATACGTTGTCCTGTGAACACCAGCGACACTCACCTCTACAGATCGGGTGCACTGCTATCGAGGGAACCAAAATCCACAACAACGCGTTCACTAACTCGTCTGCTGCACCCTTTCCTTAGCCCCCGCTTTACAGTTCCACCCCGCTTTCAACACGGCAGCTCCTGGTCGTAAGGGTATTCGCGCCGGCACCGGGCTCCACACCCGTGTAAGGGTATTCGCGCCGACATCGGGCTCCACACCCGTGCCGGCGGACAAAGGCAAGCAGCCCCAGGGGGATCTGCACACCCTCCTCACCTCCCTCCTCGCTCCCATTCAGGCACAACTCGCGGTCCTCGCGCCCTTACAGGCGTAGGTGGCGACCCTTGCCGCCGGCATGCAGCAACTCCAGGACGCTGCCTGCCCTTCATCTCCTGGCTCCCAATCCGGGTCCCCCGTCCTCCGACAGGGTGGCCACGACGGAGCTTCCTCCTCCACTGCCCCCGACCTTGCCATCTTGGTGACTGTCCATGCCCGTAGCACGACAGCCGCCATGAGCCAGGCCCTTCCTCAGTTTACGGGCGCACCCGTCCAGATTCCGGTCACTACGGCCACGGGACCACAACTCGCTACCATGGTCTCAGCTTTTCCGGGTGCCCCGCTTCTCCCCCCCCTTCACACGACTGCAGCGCCACCTGGTTCTCCCCCCTCTGGGATGCCCCGCGCCGCTTGTGCGTCCACTTCCTCCACTCTTCCTCCTGCCACTCCTCGCTTGATCCACGTCCAACGTCTCGAGGATGAGCTTGCCCAGATCCGGGCCGATCTCGCCCTTTTACGCCTTCAGCCACCCGCACCCTCACAGGTGGCCGCGCCTTCGGGCACACCTCCTCCTTCCTCTACCCTTCCTTCCATGCAGCCCCATCCTACCTTCTTCATGTTCCTTCGGTTGTTGTGACCTCTTCTACCGCAGCTCCCTCGCAGCCTGCTGCTGTTGCCCCCGCCGCTCCCCCATATGGCCCGGGCGCACAATCAGTTGCGCCCCTTTCTCCAGGACCTGCGCCGACTTACTTAGCCGTGGCACAGACCTCTGCTCCTCAATCCCCTCGCCGCCAAAACGGTGGCGCACCACTCGTCCGCTTGGCGGACATTCCCTCATCCGACGGTACAGGGATACGCGTGTGTCGGTGGCTGCAGTCTGCCACCCGCACACTTCAGCTCATGGGCGCCACACCCGACACATGGGTGGGTCACCTCTCCACGCGCCTGCGTGGCGGTCCTTTTGACGCCTGGGAGGATTTCTACGCTTACTCCCTTCATGTGGATCGGACTCCGACCTTCATGGATTTTCAGGCATTCCTCGAGGATCGCTTTGGAGCCCGACATGACGTGACTGACGCCTTCGAGCGTGTCATCACTACACGCTGGTCCGACTCTGGTGGCGCTGCTGGCCTGGATCACCACATTCAGGTCGTTCAGGACGCCCGCCTCATTTGTGACGTGGCGTTCCTCCCCGAGGCTGCCCTTATCGATCGTTTCTTGGCCAGCCTCCCGCTCGATTACCGCTCCGAGTTATGGCGGTACGAGTTCACATCGGCCCCGCAGGCTTACGAGGCCGTCAGGGACCATCAGTGGATGCGGGCCCGTCTTCACCCCGCCTCCTCCTCCCAGCCCCAGCGTACTGGTTACGCCTCCTCCTCTCACGGTACTTCCCAGCGCCGTTCCCCTTTCCTCGGTCGCCCCCGCCGTTCCGCGCAGCAGGGCCGCCACTTCTCGCGCCGCTTCAGCGCGATCGAGTACAGTGAGCAGGACGTTGGTGCCCCGCTGTCGCAAGAGGGTGACCATGATAGCGACGACCTCGACCTCGGCGAGGCCGTCCACCACCACCTAGAGGACTCTACTCTCCCTATGTCCGAGCGCTTCCAGCTCATCCTCTCCGCCGTCTCCCGGGCACGCAGCCGCCCTGGTCACGCTGGCACGTCGCCCCCTGAGGTCCCTCAGCAGGACCTCCCTCAGGGCTTTGTCCCTCCTCGCGGTGTCCTTTCCGCTGAGGAGCGCGCGGCTATTTTGGGTCGGCGTGGGTGTTTTCGATGCCGCCAGGATGGTCATACCTCCTCGCGGTGCCCTTACACTGCCGCCCTTGACCGCCACTATGCTGACCTTTCCCGCCAGCGTCGTGCTCAGTCCCCCCCGACGCCTCGCATCCCCGCGGCGCCTCCTAGCCACGGTGCAGTGTACACCTGCGCCCTCTTCAGTAGTCGGCTTCCCGACATCCCCGTCGCGGTTTGCCCCTCTTGCTACTGGAGTTGAGGTCTCGCTGGACCCGACAAAGTATACTCAGCCCTCTGTCGCAACACCGTCCGCGCCTCCGCAAACCACCGTCTTCCCTCCTAACCCGCCGCGACTACCGACACGTCGAGCCATTCACTCATCTCGTTGCATCGAGCAGCGAGCAGCTCGCTACTCGCTAGGACGTTGTGTCCTCTCTTCTGGACTTGAGCATGCTCCAGGCTCGTTAGGAGCGACTCACCCTCCACGTCGCTGCACTGCGTCGTCTTCTCACCATCCTCTCGGACGTGATTGGGAAATGAATCGGCACTATGTTGCATGTTGGGTGCAAGTGTGAGATGAGGGGGGAGAAGATCTCTCTCTTC